GGTTGGATGGGCGGTAGCCGTAGCGAACCGCCAGGCCGTCCCGAAAAGCATCGCCGCTGAGGTCGGTCTGGTCGCTGCACGACGGCATGGCCGTGAGCCACGCGTGCGTCTTGGCCTCCTGCGCGCGCCGAGCAGCTCGTTGGCGTCCTGGGGGAAGGCGGGCGACACCGTCGTCGAAGCGCTCCTTGGCCTGTGCGTCCGCCCGCCTCTTCCCCTCGTGAATGGCCGTGTGCATCTGAAGGCGGTGGATGGACGGGTCGAAGGGCTGGTCTGGGTGGGTGCCATGCTGAATGGCGGTGGTGAGCACGTTGGTGCCCTGGACGGACGTCTTGTGGTTCAGAGACTATGACGAACTGACAAGGATGTTCATTTCACATTACGAATTTTCCGAAGCGATAAATGTTCTCTGCGCGAATTCCACAAAGCAATGACACAAGTCCGACTGCTGAAGTCGGCCGATCAGTGGGCTGGCTATGTGTCTCTCACCCGGCATGCCGATGGTGTGCCCGATACCGAAGGGGATCAGAATGTGGGCAAAGTCGATGATTTCTGAGAGCCATGACAAAGGACAGAAGAGAGAAGAAGGTGGAGAACAGTTGTGTGTCACCACGGTAAGTGCCTACTGTGAGCTGCCTGTTTCGCGTAGTGCTTTGCTATCCTTAGTTCACGCTTCCAGCCTCGCGGCCAGCACCATTCATCATCTGAAGCACCCAGAAAGCAACCAACGGTAAAGCACGAGCTAGCTCATAAACTGACGTTCAGCATCAGCCTGCGAATAACACCTTTCATACCTGTTGGGAGCGTGTCTTTCTCCGGATTAGGGCGACGTCTCTTTGTCGATTGTCTCAGCTCAAGCTGACACGCTCCACCTTCTCCGACACATGTGGCGTGGCATTCGTAGACTTCGTGCTGCTGGCAGGAGGCGTGCAGAGGCGACGAGGCGACGTTGTTGCACCAGTACCAGGTCTTTTCGCATCTCTCCATTGTTTCCTTATCTGAACACACGACAGAGATTGTGCATTGCCAGTGCGTGAGACAGATATTGCCAATAGTGCGTGAGACACATATTGCTTGTTTCCATTTGTACCTTCCTTGGCATGCACAAGATACTCAACCGGCCGAATTGCTTGGCATTTCATCAGCGTCCAGATGTCTGGCGTCTGAGACAAAACAGAGATGGAAATGAAAGCAACTTGTGCAAACCATCCAGAGAGGGAGGTTGTCTGCGTCACTTTTACCCCCTTTGGTGCCAAAGTCGACGGCTGCCACGAGAAGGCTGAAGTAGGTGAGCAAGGACCTGACTCAGTCCAAACAAGCGAAAGGAGATGCGATTGTGTCTATGAGAGACTGAGCGGCTTGTTTGATACTCGTGTCAAAGGGTGTCAGTTTTGTGTCGACACAGGACTGCCAGATAATCAATTGAGGACGGAAAACTACATCTCCTGTTGTCATGGTCGGCTCAGGGAAGAGATCGCTAAACCTCTGCCAGTCATCGAGCCTGCTCACGCCCACGTCGAAATATCCCTGCGCAAATGAGCGAAGCTCAGATACGAAGAGATTGGCGAGCCATTTCTCTTTTTTTCCAACTCACTTCTTTCGCAACTTCTGTTCCCTTTTGCGATGCCTCTTGTTCGTCTGTCTCTTTAATGGAGGTTGGGGCCATGATCCTGAGCCTCTCCTGACACCTCAGAATATCCTCAGGCAATTGCGCTTGATCTTGTGGCGTCGGACGATAGTGCTTCAACACTAGAGATCCCAGCGGTCCTCCTTCGGGAAGAAAAGTGGTGCTGCCTTTCGCTTGGCCAGTGCAAAGCCACTGCTTCAGATCGCCCACGGTGCTGAAGTCGTAGTACAATCTGAACGGGCAACCCATGATCATGTCTCATACTATACTGAACTTCCTGAAACTGGTCGGCTGCCATCGTGCGGCATGAACCCTGCACAGCTTACTTGGCTTCGCCGTCTGTGTACCCGACTTTGTATTTCTTGCTTGTGTCGCTCTTCGAAGTGAGCGTCTCGAAATAATATGGGACTGTGAATGCACAGAAGAGACAACTAGAAATAAACTGAAACCACACTCTCTTTCTCGAGCGCACTTCTAATCATTCTAGGAACTTTTGCGGAGGATTTGATCAGCTGAGGTATCTGGAATGCCAGGAAATCTAGTTCCCTACCGGCCAGCCCATCAACACAGCTCATAAGCCATCCCTGTTTCTTCCGACTGCACATTTCAGGGGCTGGGTATTACCTCAGGTCATGGTTTGACGATTCACGTTTCCGTCCGGACAGGAAAGGAAAGATGAGCGGCGACTGACGAGTGGGTCCGGCAAGTGCTGAGACGAGCTGATTAGAGAATTGCAGATCCGTCTCGTAGAGGGGCCTGTGCTTGTAAACCCTAACACCCGGATCGAAAGCCGCGCCTTTCTTCGCGCCTTGAAGTTCTTGTAGATATTCGCGAAGTTCGCTTGTGAAGCTCCCCTGGGTTCGGACGGTCTTTCTCTGATTCGGTGTTGTTTTGCTGAACATGCCTGTGGCGACACCTCGCTGGTTCTGCCCTTCCGCGCTCATGGCATGGATGATCGACTCTTGGAAAGCGGCAGTGTAATTTGCTGTGATATTGATTGAGAGAGGGAGAGAGCGACAAAGACATAAAGAGACATCCCTTTCGTTCCGCAAGTTTAGTGAAAAGCCTACTTTTGCGCAGGTAGTAGGGAAAGATGGGAAGCTTGCTTGCATCATAGCCCGCGAAAAACTCTTCCAGATTTCCTTTGATCCGCCTTTGACGTGGATGACGTCGAAAGAAAATGTTGGACTGCACAATCAGGCAAGGGCCAAGCAGTGCAAGCGCGGCTGCCTTTCGGCTGGCTGGTTGGTTTCTGATATGTTTGTTTACTTACTTGGGCTCTGCCAGTGGGGAGATCTCCCTGAGCATGACGGAAGCTCCAAAGTGATACGCATGGAAGATCATTTGCGGTTCCTTCTGCAGCACCGCCTCTTTGATGGTGTAGCAAAAGTCCAAGGTGTTCCATGTCTCGCCTACAAGCATCCGAAATACGTATAAACAAAGGCGATGCGGGATGCATTCTCTCCGTTTCTGCATGAGTGTGTGCTACCCTTCTCTGGGCTTTCGTTGAAACACGTCACGATTGTCACATTCGGGCTATGCTTTTGCTGGCACACATCAAAAGTGGACAACAAAGTGTTTAACTCGACAGAAAGTCTGGCACGCAAACCCGCACACCGGAGCAAAGAGAGCGTCCATCTCGTTTATTTTGAGGTCTTGCTCAAAGTCCAATTCTAGGAAGACTTTCGGATGCCAGATGGTTGCGCTGTGGATGGGCGCGACAAAGAACACACATTCAGAGGAAACGAGGAGGGATGAATCGTTTCATCCTCACCAGCAGAATGATGCGGGAGCAGCTTTAAATGGCGGTGGCGTTTTTTTTGCTTCTTCGATGAACCACTCCTGAAAGTCGCTCCCAAATGCTGATCAAGGGGAGGTCAGTGGGCGACCGATAGAGAATTGGGTGTGTCCGTGGCGGGATACTGTGACGTACTGTCTGTGGAATTGATCCTTTCGTCCCGATTCGGCTGCTCCTCCATGGCCTCACTCGCTTGCTGCATTCGAGTCCATCGAGGTTCCCCCCTGTATACTCCGCTGCCGATCTGAAATCGACGAAGAACAAGTAAGCTTTCTCTGCGTTGTATTGTGTCTCATTGCCACATACCGCAGCGACAAAGGCGTTTTTGAATCTGGCGGGGAACACCGCTGACGTGGAAGAGCGCAAACAACAATGGAAAGAAAAGCAATGACAACAAACAGCGATCAGGCCACATGAAGCGCGTCTTTTCCGAAGAAGCACCAGTCTTCGCGAACTTAGGGAACATGGGAGATTGTCCATCAACAGTGCTTCGGTGGCTCCAAGAAGGGCTGCAGCACAAATGCACATCACAAGACTCCTGCCATTCGCGCACTCACACGCAGCCTTGATTACTTGATGTCGTCTTCTGGCAAAAGGCTCTGGAACTCAAGACTGCTGCCGAATGAGAACGGAGAGGTTCCCACGTACATGAACTTCCCACCACCTGGTTCGGCAAGCAGGGTTGCCAGCACCGAGCACAGCGCTTTCGTGTCCTGTCGCTCAGGCGGCCAAAGCCGACTCAGATTGGATCTCTCTCGAATCAGCTCCTGCCGTAGTTGTTGTTCCTCTTTCGCCTGCGACACTTTCTTCCCCTTCTTTGCCGACTTGACATCCAGGAGCACCTCAAGGAGACGGCCGGCGTCTATGCCGCAGGTTGTGAGGGTGACAGTGGGCGGAGAGAAGGGGTTTTTCTTTGGAGCTTGGCCTTTCTTGATGTCGCTGGAGAGGTGCAGAGCTATGTCTTTGGCGACGGAAAGACCGAGGAAGGACCCTAGCGTCCATGTAATATCACAGCAGCTCGGCGCTGGGGCCTTTGGAGTCGGACCCACCAATATCTCTTCGCCTGATTGCACGGCCATCGGCCAAAGAGACAACAATTGAGACAGACACCCGACAGACAGATGACCACGCACTGCCAGTGCAAATGCACCTTTCAGCGTTGAGTTGTCGAAGCGGGTGGAGACTCTCACGGCCTGGCCGCCGAGAGATGCCAAAAGGAGAGCGTTGATCGCGAAAACCATGCGCGAGGACGCGAGGAAGGGCGTCATGACGGGAACGACTTGGGGAGGGGGTCACAGAAGGGAGACGGCAGTGCAAGATCACGCTGGGGGCCCGTCATGTCTTGGAGTTCTGATGAATGATTGAGGTTGCATGTGGGGTGGATGAGCAACTTCGGAAGCACCTCAGCTAAGCCTTTTGGTTTGTGGGACTCATCCAATTGATGTACCGCAAAGTACACTCCTGGCCATGGGGGTATACTAGATTGGCCGTAGAAGAGCCCCCATGGCGGTAGAAGACTTAGTGTGGTTACTCCTTGGAATTCATGGCCGAGTGCGAAGGCCGCCACCATCGGCCATGCTCTCAGCATGTGCCCTTGTGCGATTGTCTCGAGCCCCTTTTGGCAACCGACACGCCTTCACGTGGCGGCGAAGCGAAGGCCGCACCCCACAGGCTTCTCCCTCTTTCTCTCTTTCTCTTGAAGTTCTTCTTTTCTTCTTCCTTTGGTTTTCCCCCGGGGGTGGGTTTTGGGGGACGGCTCGGGGGTTTTGGTTGGAGGGCGATTGACTTGAGGCCTCATCCACGACGCAACGTCTCAAAACAGCGCGTCCACATCCTTCCCCACTCCCGGCCATTCGCAAAAACGTGATACCCTTCCTGATGCATCTCAAGTACATGGGCGTCCTTTTTTTCCATCTGGACGGCCGGGAGTGGGTGGGTGGGTAGGGTAGCAATCAACAACCAGGTGTTCGCTGTCGAGGTGCTTGTGTAGTATTAGTGTCGCCCGCAGGTAGACAATAGTTGCAAGTAGCAGGTAGCGGGTGACTGGTCTGTTGGTAGACAGGTTAGTCGATGCGTCTGCTGGTACAGGTAGACAACACTGACTGCTCTGATATGGTCTGTACATTGGTACAGAAATGTGTTGCTGTGTCGTATGCCTGGACAGTCCAGTGAGGAATGCACAGTGTTGCTCATAAAGCACGCGTGCAAGGCCAGACCTCCTCGCCTCCGCATTTGTGGCTGGTCGTTGCTCGGCTCGGCGCTTCGCCCCTCGCCTCGCGATCGCACTTTGTGGGAGACACAGCAGGCTTACACATGAGTAGTCCAATATGGAAGTGCTAGAATGATCCAAATATGGCTGCACTGAAGCGATCAATCTAGGACGCGTCACGTTACCCTGAGAGAAAGACCGTATGAATGGAAAACATAGGAGCACAGCTACCGTGCGATCTAATGTATGCACATGTGAAGTACAGACAGAGCGACAGGCAGGCAGACCTTTCTCTACAGACCTCCAAAGACAAAGAGGCACTCACAGCTCACTGAGAGACACACAGACACGGGCGCATGAGCCAGCTGACCTTCACAAAATTCATCAGCTGGCCACACGATCTGACTTCTCGCTTTTGACATCACCAACAGAACATAAGAAGGCAGACGTACAGAACCAGACAAATGCCCCGGCTTCACTGATTCTTCTTGCATGCGTATGATTTGACCACTGCTGATGCCTTCAGCCGTTTGCCGTTGGAGTCTACCGCCACGACCTGATAGTGTTCGCACACCTGTCGAGCACGTTCCACCTTGACGAAATGCTCGAACTGTTTCCGGTCAATTGTCTTGGTCAAGCGCTTGGGCGGGCCATTCTCTCCTTGGTACACCAACCACTGTAAGCGCAAAAGGGCAAAGAGCAATGATTCGTGGCTACATCTGTACTCTGTCGAACCTTGGCGACGTTGGTGGCCCCATTCCAGCTGAAGTGGATCCTCGGAATCTTGTCCTTGTTGCTGCTGTCGAGAACGAGGGCTGGTGGCCAGTGCGGCTCGGCCCACCACTGGTCGCGTGTGTATTTGTGGGCGCTGTGGCTGTTCTGCCCATCCTCGAAATACATCTCCATCACCACCTCGCCTGTGCGCGCAAGGAAAGAAAGACATAAGCCATAGGGTCTACGTAGATTGTCCATCTTTCTTTCTGCGCTCCAACGAACCATTTGGTTTCACTTCGGTGTAGAAAGGGGCTGACCAGTCGCCTTGCATGCTGCGTGCACAAGGACAGGAGGGAACAGCGATGTGGAAGACAAATGTGAGGTCTTCCTACTCGGGGCCGACTCCCATGCCTCCCCAACAAATGGCAGTGTTGCCGTTCGACAGCCTGGAGGACAAAACGGCTCAACGCATGTGTCGGGGCTCGTCAGACTTCTGCCTGTGTGTGCCTACCTCTGCACGCTTCCATTGGCTAGGGAGTAGATCTGGTTGCCATGTGTGTACTCCCACACCTTCGTGGCAGTCTTGGCCTTGTGATCGAGCTGGTACTCGACTGCCCTTGCGACCTCGCCGTCACTGAACACATGATGCATAAATACACAAATGACTTGCACGGGCGCATAAGCGAACTGATTTGTACAGCTTTTGTGCGTACTGGTTCACATGATTGTCGAACATGAGGATGTCTGTGACAGGAGGGTGCACAAGTACGTGTCGGTCGCCTGTTGAGACGGATTCCATGCTCACTTCCGTTTTTTATCTCGTGGGCAAAGTGCTGGAAGGCGAACGGTCGGGGCTCGTTGACGAACTTGAAGTCGCTGAACCCGTGATGCCCACCGAGCCGCCACATGACGTCTCCTGTCCGCCTGTTGACCTTCATCACACCTGTGTATTCACATACAGACGCGCATGTCATTTTCTGACAATCGGATGGGAGGTGGTGGCCACGTGTCCTGCTCACCCATGTGTCGCAAGGAATAGACGTGGTTGCCATCCGGGGAGCGGGAAATGCCATTGGGATGCTGAAGATTGCAATCAATCACAGTACAGACAGGGACATCTAGTGAGCAGCGTGCGCGCCAATTCGATGTGCCGACCGCGACGTCCCCTTGATCGTTCAGCATCCCAAACTGAAGCATCTCGTCGACGGTCATGTAGTCCCACTGACAACACAATGTGAGAAGAACAAAGAACAGATAAGGTTGACGCACGCAGTGGGTGTGGGTCGCCTACCATTCGCCACTCAAAGACCGGGTTTCCGTATTTGTCTTGTTCCGTGAATACTGCTGCGTTGATCCTGACAGTCCTCCCCTTGTGGCGCATGTACTGCGTGTCCTCGTGCATCATAATCGCCCCTCCATCTTTGTCGATCTTGAAGTCATGGCCTGAGCAACATATCCGAGCCATCTGCTGCCCCTGAGCCATGTGGACGTGTGAGCGCATACCATCCTTCTTGTATCCGTGGGGCTCTGTAAAGGTCTTGACCTTTTTGAAGCGGTGGTCGAATAAGGCCGCATCGAACGATAGCATCTTGGCGTCCTGAGCACACAAGGGCATGATGTATCGTTGTGGTCTCAGCGCCTCTCGGCGCCACCTTATTTACCGTCACAATGAGGTTCCCTCGTGAGTCATACATACCCGGGACCTCGGTGAAGAAGACAATGTCGCCCTCATTGTCCAGCATCATCAACCTGCACACGGGAAAGGCGCCCTCTGCACATGCGTTGCTGCCCCAGGAGTGTGAATGATTGTGTGCACTCACCAAGGGTGCTCACGCTCGAACTCCCTCTGGTTGGTGGGTCCCCTCCGATTACTGGCCACACAGCGGAATGGAGCAGGGGTCTAGATTTCTTCACGAGGCGACCGATTGCTTACGTGAAGAAGACGTAGCCCTCCTGCACCCCCTCCTTCGCAGGAACGGACATGCGGATACGCGGGAAGTAGGGCGGAATCGTCTTGTAGTTACTGAAGGTCTCCACACGTGTCGAGAGAAATGAGTCTGGACGTTCTCTCTTATTGCTCTCGTCACGCTTACCGCTGCAGGTATTTCGCAACCGGGAAGGTGTTCATGAGTTCAAAGCCGTTCTTGAAGCCGAATGTTCCTCTCATCATGGTGTGGTTGCTGCCCTCTCTCACGCCACGAGGGATGAAGTAGTCGTCCATCATGCCGGATTTGGCATCGTCCGGGACAGACGGCGGGTCCAACACGTAGCTCTTCCCAACTGACACACGTATCAGTGCCGTCACCCACACCCATTCATCTATGTGCGGCCTCTCACCTGGCCTGATTTTCCTTCGCTGCTCCTGTAGCTTTTCTCGTTTGGACAGTGGGTCTGTCGAGAAGGGGAGGCTCTCACGAACAGTGAATCGCCACTGCAGCCCTCCTGCGAAGCCAGCAGCGGTCTTGAGGCCCCCCAGCACGCTCACTTGCACCGATTCGCCGAGCTTGAAGGGCTTGTTGCCTCGAAAGATCACTGTCTGACCATCTGAGCGAGCGATGGCAAAGAAAAACACAAGTGAAACGTGTCTGTTCCATTCGCTGACCTGCCGCAAGCACGATCTCTCCCTGCACGTTGCCCGACTTGCTACCGTGGACCTTGATCTTGCCCTGGATGGACTCCGCTTTGATGAGTGAGCCTTGCCTGACGGCGATGGTTGTCAGCGGTGACACGAGCTGCGCATCGAGGCGGGGATGGATGTATCTGAATCGAACACAGCACCAAATACAACGTGCATCGGGTCAGTGCCACCATGAGGACTCACTCGAATGGGCCGAACTGCCGCCCGAACTGCCGCCCGCTCCCTTCCAGAGCCGCCAAGGCGCCATCGTCATCAACCTCAGCTTCGGTAAAAGAAGAAACCCAAGACCAGTTCAGCGCGACGACGCAGAAGACGAAGTGCCGCCGCATTTTGACTCTTTCTCTTCAGAATTTGCTTCCCTCTCCCTCACTATTTCGGCGCATTGCGGTTGAAAACTGCGTGTTGCAGACAAAGCCGCTGCTAGGCTGCGTGTCATGAGGGCTGGGCCCTTCTTGTGCGTCTTCTCGCCTTCGGTACGAACATGCCCCCTGACGGCACGGCTCTCTCTAACGGCCGATAAAAAATAGAAGTCAGCCCGCGCACAAGAGATGGACTCTCACCTGGCTCATCCGCTCAACGACAGCTGTCCGCGGCGCGTCGTCGCCTGGTGGAATGTGCTCCATCCCGACTTCCCGCCCATGACGGTCAACGCCGCCCAGGAACTGACCGGCGTCATTGCACAGCTGAGTACTTCGCTCAGCAATGCGGGAGAGAGCAGGAGGAAGGTGGTTCGTTCAACTACTTCATTCAAGCCCTCGCCGACCTGCTCATACGTCACCCACACAAGGCCCTTCACCTTCTCTTGGGGAAGAAAGCCATCGTCAACTACGGCTTTGTGGTGCGCGAGGCCAATGACACTATCCTGTGGCCACCAGCATCTGCGTGGCTGCTTGTTTCTGTCCATTCCACAGGCTTGTGACGTCCCCCTTCGGATCACCGACGAGCTCCAGGAATTCTCTCGGCCGGTCTCAAGACTGCCGTGATGATGTACGCCGGCACGTCCCACAACAGCGACAATGGGGCGGGTCCGCCACCCGAGCACCGGTACGCGTCGGAATTGATCCCTCACACCCCCTCTGCTCTCTGTCGACCTGTGCTTTGAGTGTGTGTAGCATGACTGACTATTTGGCTGATGCCATTGAGTTCGCCAATGACGTCTTGCACACCGGGATCAGCCTGGCGACCAAGTGGAGGGACGCACAGCCGCTGGCCTGGCTGCTGTCCGCCATCGAGTTCTATATCGACGACGTCCACGACACCGACCTCAAGGGACGCACCGAGGCGTGCCTCCGCGAGAGAGAGATGATACAGGACATTCCAGACGACCAGCGATGGCCAAAGATCATGGGAGGCCTTCGCCAGCATGACCTGGTGGTTGGGTGAAGACAGAATAGCCGGTTGGGCGACATAGAATCACATGTGTGTCCCTTTCCTCAGACCACAGGAGGTCTGTACGACATGAAGCCGTCGACGGCTGAACTGCTGCACGCAGGGGACGTCACCAAGTTTCCGGTAGGGATAAAGCGAGCCACGACAACCGATGGAAACATGTGCTGTTGCTTGTCAGTGGCTGCTTGTCGCACGCAACCTGAGGAACGGTCAGCTATCCAGCAGCAAGTCATGCCACCAGTACGCCGTCGAGAAGGGACTGATGGTGGACAGCGACAAGGAGCAGCGGGACGCCGAGTGGCGGACGGCTGTCGACCTGACGGCCGCAGCGACTGGCAAGCTCATCGATGACTTCATCGCTGGCACCAGACCCGCCGACACGAAGAGGCAAGTATTTCCGGCGCACCGCTTCGTATGTTGATTGATGGTGCGTGTCCAGCGATCAACCCGACTGGCTACGCTCGTCTCAGGCTGCGGCAACGAGGGCACGTGGGTGGTCCGAGGAGGAGGACAAGCGGCTGCAGGAGCTCGCTGACGGCATGAAGAACACCACCGGCGCCATCAGGTAAGTCGCTGATGTCGGTTCGACTTCTTCGCCTGTATCTGGTTTGTACGCAGGTATGATTCGCTGTGCCGTGACATGGCCACCGAGGGTTACATGCGCGATGAGAAGGAGGTATTCTTCCGCCTCACCTTCCTGGCCAAGCTGAAACGTCTCCGGTCCGGCCTACCGTTCCGTAGCGGACAGAAATGGAGCGATTCAGATGTGCAGAAGCTTCTCGACGACGTCCGCGACTCGATACCGTATGCTGATGCCTTCAAAACACATATTAGCATCCGTTCTTGCCTGTACATTGTCTGCTGTCAGGCGTGACCTCATTGCTGCTGGGCTGGGTCGGAGTGTGGAGGCGGTGCTGACAAGATGGAGGAGGTTTCGATCGGACAACGACAACCTTCGGCTCGCCCGTCAATCAATCTTCTGGCTTCCAGCAGATGTCGAGTGCCTGAAGGAGATGCGATGACGTGTGCAGCTGCGTGTCACGGTGTCTGTGTGACATGTTTGTGCGAGTGTGTGGTGCCGATACATTGACCCGTGAGATAGCGTGCTCACATCGTTTTAATTGAATGTGAATGATTGGTCTGCACGGTCTCGTGTTGACACATCAATGCGTGGCCACGCAACACACATACACATGGCAAGTCACACAAACACAGACAGCCACACGGTCAATCCTTTCATGCACACAGCTGCGCCATCCCTGCGCGCACTCACCGGACTCCTCAAAAGTACTTAGCCCCATCCATTTCCCGTTGACGAAAAGTACAGTGGCCCTTCGGGACGAAATAATGGGACGGCGAATTCTCTTCCTTCTGCATGTCGAGTCATTTAGCTGAGGACTGGTGCTTTGATGCGGCGATAAGAGCGATGACAACGAAGGAATGACAGACACAATGCCACACAATCGCATTGTGTCTGTTTTTTGTTTTTTGTTTTTCTTTTTTTGGCGATGATGTCTCTTTTTCTTTTTTGGCCACGTAAAACAGCACGCATACCACGCAATTCTCATGGACATTCATGGGCTTTCCACAAGAACCTGTCACATTCACGCGTGGAGCATGACAGAAAGATCGGTAGAAATCGAGAGCATGAATGTCTGACAATTGCAGAAATGACATTCAGAGATTGACCCAGCTGAGGTGAGGCCCGAAGGGCGAGGCGAGCAACGACTAGCAAGCTGCAGCGCTTAAGCGATGCTGATTGACCTGTCGATGAGAGACAACCAATTTTGAATGACGACAGACGCACAAATCAAGTCGACCAGACATGAGGGACCTGATTCAACATCCCTTTTCTTGCCTGACTATTCGGGCGGTACGAGATACGGACTGTACCCACCAACAATATCCATGATTCATTTCACGAACAAATACGTCCATGAATGTTCATTTATTGATTTAAGTCCTGCAAACAAACATAAAGCATCACATCAATTGGGAGCATACAGACACTAATTCGTGAATTGTCAGATACACTAGATGATACGGGAGGCTACGTGGGGGCATACAAAAGTGTCACGCATCGTATAGAGTAGGTTTCGTCGTGACGCACCAACCATAGCCACCTCCTCCACGTACCAGTCTCGCGGCAGCGTGCTGATGTCCACCCCGTCGAGAAGCTTAGGATTGCGACGCAAGGACAGGTAAGGACACAGGAGTAGTACATAAGTAGGGAAAGTGACTGACTACAGAAGCACAGGAAGCATCCCACAGGTGTTCCGACAAACCGAAGAGCTACATGGCCAGCCCCGTCTACCTCCCCGGCACATCCCAGCTGCCTCGACGCAGAGCAGAAAATCGGGGCGGGGGCAAAGTCGTCTGTACGAATGAGCCGCCCTGTCCCTGAGAAACCTACTGAGGCAGAAACTTCAGTTGAGAGCGGCGAAAAATGCAGCGATGAAGACAGTACAGATAGAATAAACATGATTGAATACCCGTAGATCCCTATTGACCTCAGAAAGATTTCATGGCATTCACAGCTCATCTTCACTCCAGGCTGATGCGAACGCTGCACGTGTGGCTAATGACTCGGTCTCCCTTCTTGAACTTGAACAAAACAGGCAGGCGCAATCGCTGCCAAGAAGCGCACACGTCAGCACACGTCAAGTTGTCTGTCTGCGCATCGCCTACCTTCTCCATAGAATGGTGGATGTTGTTGCCACCGGTCTTAGAACGAAGCGTCAAGGTGAGGGTCTGTTTCGTCAAGTTGGGCTTGACGACAATCCCCGACGCTTCCACCCCACCTTCTCCGACAGCGCCGTCTTCCTTGGGGGGCCGTACGTCAACCCCTATGGCTTTCCAGCCCTTTGCGACCGTGGCGAACTCACTGCGGCGATCACAGGCACAACAATGAGGAGTCACAACCCCTGATTACTTTTTCTCTGTTTCGCGATCATACTGGATGGATTTCGTCTCCTTCGTCGACAGCAGCGCATCTTTGCACGTCACAAACGCGCCTCTAGTCCCTGTCCCAGTCTCAGTGCTCGTTGAGTTGCACCTGATCGCCACTGATACGGAGATGGACAGACACACAAGAACATCTGGCTCGTGTGTTCCTTCCCCTTGTGTGGAGGGACAAGCTGGTACCTTCGCACGTTTCGGAGAAAGTCGACGTGGAACCATCCAGATTCAGACGCTCAAGCGTAAACCCGACCGGCAAAAGCAACGGCTGCTCGGTGTCCACAGGCAGAGCCGCACTGCCGCACTCTGACCACAGCCAAAGATAACCATAGGCTTTCAGCGTGTGATGAAATGCACTGCGTCACCGAGCAGAAGCAGTTGCGGGTTGATGGCCGTACTCCCAAGATCGAAGAGCCGAATGTCCTGCAAGCATTTCAGCCAAAGGCACAACGGCAGGAAGAGTCGACGCCTCTCATACAACGAGTCGTCTTAACCACCTCGCTCAATCGATCACCTGTCCGTCCAGTCCAGAACTGAGGAAGAAACAATCGCGCGCAACCCTCACTATGTGTATGTCATGCAGCAGGTTGCGACTCACCTTAGGGGTGGTTGGCAACTGTCGTTAAAGGGGGGAGGCACTGACACCCTGCAGCGGACAAAGCACGTGTATATGACATCTCGCGCGGTTGAGCGGTGTTTGTCTCACTCATAGTCGCCGTTTGGCGGAAGCGGACTTCCAGAAGCGGCCATCAGGCTCACGAAATCGCTGGTTGTGACAGCACACACACACACACACACACACTTTCGCGTCCTATATACAGCTACATGTCACCTTCTTCACCTTATCGCTCCCGAGACAATTTCTCCGCCTCTCACACCCGTCAGCGAACCGCCAGCGCACATCAGGCCATTCTGTTTTGGTGACCGCTGCCTTCCTTCGCCTGCAAGCACATCCCGTCCGAAGAGGAATCCAGTCGTCCGCCCGTTTCCTCGTACCTGGACGGAATGGGGCAGCGGAACAGAGGAGGGGAAGAGAGGCGAAGAGAAGGAGCAGCGGGCACATCGTTTTGCACAGAATATGACAGCTGAGTTCTGCAAAGCCTTAATTTTTGCAACCGCAAACAGTTACTGAAATAATAAATCACGGTGCTCCCTGTCGATGTGCTGATGATTCTGCGCTCACTAACCGGCATGGAACAGCGGCAACGCCAAGGACCTTTAACACGCAAGTGCCCTTCCTCCACCCCAACTGCTTCAAAAACGACTTGTCCATCCATGCATGATGCAACCATCACGTATGTATGAGCCAAGTCCGCCCCCGTTGCCGTGCGTCCTTGAAATTCCAGATACCGATGACTCTCTCACTCTCACGCTCTCATCAGCTGCTGTATGCACATGCATCACGCACCCTCCTCTCTCTTTGCCTGGCAGTGACGGATCCATCTATGCAACGCCCCTGGCACGTACGTTCATCGCCCGCACCCCTGGCACGTGTACGTTCATCGCATCGTCGGCATCATTAGACATGCACCCCTCACCAGCGATTCTCAAGCCCTCACCCCTTGGGCTCGAGAACCGCCACAGCTGAGGCAACCCCAACACATCACACAGACTGTCCATGATGATGATGCTCTTAAAAAGGAAAATTTTCCACTGACGCCCCTGGCACGTGTACATACATTGCATCGTCGGCATATTGGACATGCACCCCTCACCGGCGACTCTCAAGCCCTCACCCCTTGGGCTAGAAAAAACGCCGGAGCTGACAACGAACAGCCCGACTCATCAAAAGAGAATGAAATGCCATGTAAAAAGCAGGGGTACAAGCACCTCGTCTGTCCACTAGCTACAGGGACACCTCCATCTGATGCCCCTCGTCATCACCCTCGTCAACCATTCATGAGAACATGTTGGTACATACGTTGTGGAATGAGTGGGGGGGTGGGCATGCGAGAGAAGGGGCTTAAACCAGTGAGTAGCAGGCTACTTTTCCACGTGGGGTCTCTTGACGAGGCAGTTGCGGAATCCCCCCTCAATCTCAGCACGGTCGAGGTTTCTGCACACGCAACACACAACATATGCATTGCGGTCACCTCACCCCCGCGAATTCGATTCGAGGACTGACCTGCCAATGAAGACCAGCTTGCACCCACGAGTCTCGGATGGCTTCCACTCGTCCTGCGGGATGCCGCTGCAAGAAGGTGACATGACAGGGGGAGCATGATCGATGAATGAGCAGCAAGCGATGTCCGTAGTCACCTGAAGAGCATGTGGATGCCCTGGAATACGAACTTCGAATCGCTCCCTTGCACGGCCAGCACTCCCTTCATGCTGCACGCACGGGCCAGAGTGACAGCCACTTACTCCTTCCTGTGTCGAACCTCTCGGCCTACCGGAAGATATCTACGCCCTTGTTCTTCAGGATGTCCCCGAGCCAGGCGTTCAGTTTGCCCTCATCCACCTCGCCGACCAGGTCGATACCGATGCTCGTCACCGACTCGTCGTGCTGCGTGCACGCACACCGACCGGCCCACGTGACACGTGTACATGTATGTATGTATGTATGTGTGCAACATGCCGGTGGGGGCATGTACTCGTCGCACAGACCTGGTGCTCCTGGCCATCCTTCAGAAACTCACTGTCCATATCGAGGACCTGGGGGACACGGATGATGGGACAGTAAAGCGATGATCGACCCACGTGTGAGTGAGCACCTTGTCGAGCGAGAACGCACGGATGCCAAGGATGCCCTTGATGGTGCTCTCCAAGTTAGTGGTCACGTTGAGCGACGTCTTGACGATTGGAGCGAAGCTGTTGATGGCGCGAATCCTCTCCTCGACCTGGGACAGGTACGGCGCATCGACGAGGTCGATCTTGTTGAGCAAAATGCGGTCCGAAAACGCGAGCTGCGGACACACGCACATACACGTATTCCGCGGAGGCACGGGAATGCAGCGAGCGAGGGATGGATGGAGATTGGCGTACGCACCTGCTCGATGGCCTCGTTCTCTACGCCCTCAGGTTTCTCGTCGTCCAAGTGCTGGATGATGTGCTTGGCGTCGACGACGGTCTGCACACACCCGAGGCGGAGGACACACAGAGAGTGCAGGTGTGGTGCGATCAGCTTGCGTCGCCTTACCACTATACCATCCAGACGAATTCTCGCCTGGATGTAGTCGTCGACCTGAGTGTTTTAAGTAAGGACATGGTATGGATGGATGGATGGATGGGGCGTGTGGACAAGTGAGACGGATACGCATGCGTACGAAGAATGTCTGAGCAACAGGTGCGGGATCCGCCAGGCCTGATGGATGGCAAACAGTCGGGTTGCTAATGCCCACTGCCCACTCCGTTCTCGCCGGACATGTCGTACGTACCTGTGGTCTCTATCAGGATGTGGTCGACACGTCCATCGGCGCGGCCGCTGCAGACACACAGCGGACAAAGTGCACTCGGCGTGAATTATCTACCAGTCGTTCCACGGCTCCAATGCAGGTACCTCTTGAGGATCTTCTTGAGCCCCTCCACCAGGTCGCCACGGACTGTGCAGCAGATGCAGCCATTGTTCCTGACGCACGCACAGCACGGGGCAAGAGGCGGGTGAGGGGAGGACATGAGTTGAGTGGGTGGTGGGGTACGTACGCACATTTCTATGATCGTCTCCTCCTCCTTGAGGGCTTTCGTCACGAGAGCGTCATCGATGCCAACCTCGCCGAACTCATTCTGTCCCATACACACACACCGCACAACACACATGTCCCACACGCACATGACTCGACGCTGTGGTTTCTCTCCGCACCTCGATGATAGCGATGCGCTTGTCGCCCTTCCAGTCGCGCAGGATATGGTTGAGCTGCATTGCATGGAGGACAGAACACCCGTATGCATGGTAAACTCTTGCGCAAGCCACACCCCCAACACAGCGGCATACCAATGTCGTCTTGCCACTGCCCAGGAAGCCTTGGATGAGGATGCGCACGATTGACATCAAGTGAACGAAAAGGAATGTGGAGAGACATTTGTTTGTGTTTGTCTGCATTCCTCATGCACCTGTCAGCACAGTGGCTGGGATCTTGGCGTCCTCCTGCTGTGTGTAGCTCTTGCCCTCCATCGCCATGACTTCCTCGGTCTCCTGACGCAGCTCCTTGGCACGCTCATGATCAGGCGCCACCGAGATGACGGCATCCAGCTCGAGCTTGGCCCTCTTGTTAGCACCGAGATTGCTGAGCACCTCCGATCGCGTCAGGAACAGCGGCACGAGCTCGGGTACCACCTTGGCGTCGCCGGCCTTCTGGCGCACGGCCTCGAGGAACTTCTTCGGGTCTGCGCAAAGGCAAACAAACAAGACCTGCGACGGGGCGACCGACGCCACTCACTCATCAAGCTCACCGCGCATGGAAATGGACTCCAAGCCCAAGGATGCACCGTACTCGTCGATGGCTTTGTTGATGATCTGGATGGCCTGATGGAGGGGGAGGGGGGGAGGGCAGACAGGGTGCATGAAGGAGGTGCAGAGGGGAGCGGCCCTCAGTACGTACGTACCATGAAGTAGTCGTTATCCACCTTGAGGGCCGCCTCTGCTGCCGCAGCAAGGTCCTTCCACGAGGTAGCGGCATTGGTGAGCTTGTCCATCATTTCCTTGACTCTGCTCATCATGCTGTTGGCGAAACCTGACATGGTGGAGACGGTCAGGAGCGTGGGCGTGTCGACTTTTGCCTGTCCCAGCCAGCGGTTTCAGGGGGAGCCGGTGGGAGCAATTTCACGGAGCACCCTAGGCGGCCTGACGCCAAGTCACGAGTCTCGTTAAACACAATAACCAACCAACCAAGTCCTCTGTCGGTTTGTCCCGTTGACATAAAAACACGCACCCTAACATGCAACACGCGCAGAGGGCAGATCCGTGGGCAGCAAACAGGTGGATATGCAATGCTGCGAACGACGGTTTCAGGCAGTACCGTGGAAGCAAGTGGCGGACTCTCATTTTGCCTCTTGGTGATTCCACGACCCAGGTTTGCTTGGACGTTTGACTGCTATCCCACACGAGGGAGCATCGTCTTGAGTTCCTGCGTGGAAAATCTGATGTAACCGTAACGCATCTGAAATTATCGTCATCCGCCTCACAACATGGACGCGCGGGTGTTTCCTCGTACCTGGACGGAATGGGGCAGTGCTTCCCTCTCAAGGGTGAGCAAAGAGGAAAGAGGAAGGAGGACAGAACATCTTCTACCATTTTCGTCTCCCTCTCTCGTGCGCGACTTTTTTAGGCGTGGCGTGTGACGATGGGGCTCGTCTGTTTGTCTTTCATGGCCTCGTCTGTTCACGCTGACCCTGGGCTCCGCTACGCAGCGGGCGGCGTGTCAGATCACGAAGAGCTCAGCCTTGGCCATCGCTCAGAGGGCAGAAAACTTGTGGCGAACGACAGTGGTGCGCGCAAAGCGGTTGTGCTTCATCGCTTGTGTCAGAACATATCGTTGTCTGCCTGTCAGAGCACGAGTTGTATGACCCCTATATCGAGTGTCTTGTAAGTCAGTCAGTCGCCATGATGAGCAGACCCTACAGGCACAGTGGAGTGATAGTCTTGTGTGTGTGTTTGTGTGTGTGTCTGTGTGTTGATCAGAATGGCACGTTGTCGGCAGAGCGAAGCTCGTCAAACACGAGGGCCATCCTGAAGTTCGCTGATGTGGGATATCGTGTGGCGACAGATGATTTCGAAGTCGTCAATGTTACCCTCCCTATGTGAGCTCCACGGCTGCCCGCGAGAGGGTCATGAGGCCATCATGCACACACAACATGGGTTCGTTTTGGTCAGGGGGCTGAAAGAAAAGCAAGGTGTGGACATCAAGGCCATGCTGGACGCGACACCACAGCAGCTCGAGGTACGCCACCTGCCCAAGTGCAGTGCTCCTCGCAGCATCAGTCATGTATGCAAAGGGCGACTGCTCTGTGGGCATCTTTTGCAGCTCTCGTGTGGCGCTGATGTGCTCCAACCGACCGACATCCCTATCGACTTCTCTTTCGATGTGGGTTCATATTTCGGATACGCGAAAGAGGTCTTTCTCATTTCTGAAGTGTGCTACATATCGGTAGTCTGTTTCTGAAGCGGGCCATCATGCTCTCCTGACCACTTTTCTGACGAACTGGTCAGTCAGTGTGATCTCGTCCCATCGTCTGTTTTCTGTACTCAACATACTGATTGGTGTATCTAACCTAACTAGTAGTGCGTACATACTTTCACACTTGGAGTGGTGTGCGACGGCCAGATCGAGCAGATTGTGAATTTTGACTCGACTGTTGACTAGATCAAAGCAGGTGAATTTTGGGCCGCTGTTGAGTCGACCTGTCGACTTCCTGATGAATGGGATGTACGTTACAGGTGGCCACCTGTACGTACAGATTGATATATATATTGACGGACTTTCGTGCAGCCAGTTGTCCGCCATTAGTCGTGAGTGTGTGCTTGAGCCACCTGTACGTACAGATTGACGAACCTGTTTATTGCACGATTGTGGCAGAATTTCATATCAGTCCCCGATTGACGGACTTTCGCATGCAGCCAGCTGTCCGCCATTAGCGGTCAACCATTGAAATTTTCAGTTTCTGTGTTCCGCGTGTCTCTCTGTCTGTAATTCAACGAGAAAGTGGACTCGACCTGTTGGATGACATCGTGCGTGTCAGGCACTGCAAGGAGACCAATCCCACACGGACAGACAGACAGACAGTCGCCCACTCAATCGATGGCGCCTGCAGGGAGCAGCCTTTCATGGTCATGAATATTGCGATTCTTGCGAAAGCGCGAAAAAAGGCAACAATGGCTCTAATGTTGACTTTTCCAGAGGGTCCCAACAAGGTCAGTCCCGCTGTGTGACACTCAGGGCTGACGAGCCAATCGCCTCGCCAGAAAGGTCATCGTTGAGCCTCTCTATAAATCTGCCTCAGGCGGATTGGTGCCTCCTTCGCCGGGAGCAAACTCAGTGCAGCCTCTGACAAAATGGTCGTCCGTGAAGTCTTTCACCTCTCATGAGACGCATATTGCCAGAAAATGCTACTGCACCGAGAATTTGGGGCGCCTTCGCGTGGGTCCTTAGAATGGCCGGGAGCAAACTCAGTGCAGAGGGGAAATATCACAAATCCGCTCTGACAAGTCTCAGAGTTTCTCCAGAGGGTCCCAACGAGGTCAATGCCGCTGTGTGGCACTCAGGAGCTGACGAGGCAATCGCTTCGCCAGCCACCGGGCCGCTGTACGCGGCCAGCGAGATTTCTCTGCACTGAGGCCGAATATCACAAATCCGCTCTGACAAAAGAAAGAGAGCATTGTGCTGCATCGTCTGCCGTCTGAACCGATGCAGCACATGTAAGAATAGGTGGGAGAGAGTCGGGGAGAATGGTGAAGAGAGGATCTGCCGGGCGGTCAGTCCCGGATAAAGGATTAAGTCAATGCAACGTAAGGTCTGTGGATTTTGTGGAGAGTCCACGTAGGACATGTAGTATGCGTCAGTCCATCCTGTCTGACGTCCTGTCCGCCATGGCCTGTCTCATGGAACGGACAAAGACT